ATTCACTTGGCCACTCTGGCACGTTGTTAAACAAAACTTTTTAAAATTATATAATGACTTTTTTAACGGAAGGAAGATAAAAATTAAGGAGAGCTTTGCTCAATGCAATTTTCAAGTGAAAATCAAACTGTAAAACTTGATAAATGTTTTAGTATGTTTTAACATAACTTGAATTGAAGTTTATGTACGTTAGATATTTGCATACACATTCGTTTTCTTATAAAACAAAGTGCTGCGACTCTTTCTCACATAATATTAGCAAAAATTAGGACAATAACCATATAACTATTACTACAATTGAATCACTATCACTATCATTGTCAGTGAAGAACCCAGACGTGTTTTAGTACCGTTTTACCGGTATGGGCGCTCAAAAAAAACGCCCTAAAATTATTTTTATTTTTAATTTTTCTTTTGATTTTTTATGAAAAATAGAAAAAAAAATTTTGTTTTAAATTAAGTAGTATATAAATAATTCTCAGTTTAATTTAGCTACCTCATTTTCTCTTCAGGAAAATAAAAAGAATTAAAAAGAAATTGCTTTTTTACATAATTGCATGACATAATTTGCCTTCGGTTATTAACTGTACATAACTTTTAAAAAAATGAAAAGTTGTTACGAAACTTAATTGTAAAACCGCGTTGCAAAATTTTATAACAATGGAATGTATAAAAGATTTGCTTTTTTGAAAGTTAAAGCGTTTTTAAATATCCATTCAGCGTTAGGTTAATTTTTGTTTTTAGCAATTAAGAGCAAACTGCTTTTGATAATAAATGAACAAAAGTAAAAAATATCAGTCCTTGTAACTATTGCGCAACTTTAATTTTTAAATAAATGAACTTTTGATCTTTAGCTTGCTATTTTAGTTTACGTAAGGAAAACCAAAAAACTTTTTCAGGCAGTTTTTTTTCCTTTCAATATGTTTTTTTAAAATAATAATAAAAAAAGGTTTCAATAACTTAATAAAAGTTTTATTTAGATCTGTTTAAAATAACCCAGGAAATGTAATTTATTTATTCAAATGTAATTTTTTAAATTATTCTTAATAATTAAAAATACATTTTTTTAAATATATGTTTTTAAAAATATAATATGGTTTTTAATCAAAATAATAGAATATTTTTTAAATTATGTTTACTGTAAATATCTCTTTAATTATCTTTTAATTTAAAAGATGCCTTAAAATCACTTTGAAACTTATAATCTTTAGTAAAAGTTAAATGAACAGATTTACTAATATTTAAATCAAAATTTTAAATTTAAAATAATAGAAAAAAAGTTTATTAAATGCTTATGTTTTTATTCAAATAGTTTATAAAATACGTTTATTAAATGCTTATCGAATTTGTTTATTAATGTATAAAATGGATATGAGATATCATTTGTGTATATATTCGAAAGAGTTCTAATACCCTTCCACATAGCTCTCAAACTATTGCTATTGGCACTAAAGTCGTTAGAAAAGTGGTTCTTTTTGCTTCTTCGAATGGGTGTTAATTAGATTTCTATAGGTTTTGTAAATTTTTTCAAGAATTAGTTTGTCATAAAGATTTTTTGTTTTAAGGAACTTCTTAAATATATTGTTTCGTTTTTTTATAGAGGTTAAAATTGCTGATGTAATCCATGGTTTAAGCCACAATTACTTAGTTTTTTAAGCGGTGTGTGTTTGTCTAGAAGAGATAAAAAGCTAGTAAAGAAATCTTTATATGATTTATTTGTATTACTATTCAAAACTTTGATTATTTTATCCCAGTTGATTTTCAAATAATCATTCCTGAATTCTTCACTATTTAATTTTTTGAATTTTCATAGAAGAATCGAGTAAAACAGGGTAAAATGAAATAGCGGGTAGAATGAAATAGTTGTGACAATTTTTATTCTTTCGCTCTTAATTAACTATTGAATAATTTTTTTGCAATTATTTTTTGATTATGTTGTAGGAATATTTTTCTGAATAAGATTGTATAAAATTTTATTTTTAATTAAAAAAATTTTGTTATAAATTTAGAAGTTTTCGAATGCGTAATAAGATTTTTTTTATTCGTTTGAAAAGGGAACTTAAAACTCTCAGAAATTAAATTCGCTATCATTGAACTTAAAATATTTACTGGTACAACTTTTTATGCTGATCAAGAATCTTTTTTCAAAATTAAATTTGCTACTTAATAAAAAAAGTTATGAGTTAAAAACGAAAACGGAGTGTTGTGGGGTTGAATGAAATACGCTTATAAATAAATAAATTCGAAGCAATAGCTTATTTCTTAAAAGAGTTTTTTTTTATTAGGTCTCAAGTGACCACTAAATCTCCAACTATAAATTTTTAGTATAAATTTTAATGAACGAGTTTTTCTAACTGAATTTAACTTACTGCTTTTATAAAATGGTTCTAATAAATGAATGAAATACGATAATTACTCCCTTGTTAATTGCGGTCACTTTGTCTGCAAACAACCTTCAATAATGTAGTAACTCTGTCTATTCAAAAGGAAATTCAAAAAGAGGTTGCAAAACAACTGCAATCAGCCCAATCACTTGCAGCAGCTTTGCAACAAATGTTTCGTATCCAACACGTTGACACAAAAAAAAGAAAAAATGTAGATTTGCCAAGATTCGAAAGGGAGTGTCTCAACAAACCTGAAATACTTGAAAGGTTGAAAGATGCTGAGAGCAAAAAAGCAGCAAACCAAGCTAAGAAACAATGTAAGCTTAGCTTTAATGGAGAACAGCAAATAAACCAAGCAACAAGTTCAACGAAAATATCAATTCAAGTGTAAAAAGTGCCGAAAAGTATAAAATGGTACCAGTGTGAAAATTCAAATTTCAAGGTTTTGCTATGTCAAACATGCATACCAAAGCCATACGTAAAAGGCGCTGAGTTTTATTGCACCAAAAAGTGCCGCACAAGTGAAAACTTAACTCAACCTCTAGTACCTCTAAATGACTCAACATCATCACAAGAATTAAAAAGCTTATTTTATTTTATTGATTTTTTTAATTGTTATTATTATTTTTTTAATCAATAAAAGTTTTATAAAAAAATTATTAGATTTTTATATATTTAAATACAGCTCAATACTCTCTACAACTTTAAAAAAAAAAATCTTTTTTCCGCAAAAAATTAATAATTAAAATCCTTAACTATTCCATTTGACCCTATTTTACTCTACTGCTTTTACTAGAATTAATATTTCTTTTTTTAAAAGATAAATAAGAAACTGTGGCAATTGATCTGATATTGTAATAGTTAGATTGCCGGAAAAAATATTTTTAGAAGTTGAATAAGAAAATATATTATCAATTAAAGTGCTTGAGTGATTAGTAATTTTTGTTGGTAAAGATATAAAAGCAAGAAAGTTGTTTGAAGCAAATACTCCAAGATTGAATTATCTGAGTTTGCTTTTATAAGATCTATATTAAAATCACCCATTATAAAGATAGTTTTATTGTTTCAACAGCAAGTTTTTTAAATAGAATAGCTAGATATGAAACAATAAATTCATTAATATCCATTTTAGGATGGCGATAAACACAGCCTACTATGATATTAGACTTTTCAGGGAAAATGATTTCAACAAATACAGACTTTAATAATTGGGGTTTATACATAAGTAAATCATTTCTAAATTTATAAACTAGTTTATAAGAAATATAAAGTAGAGCACCTCCAAATTAAGTTTGTGTTGAAGTATGTCAGGGGCTATTCTAGACCGTTTTCAATAGCGTCGACTGTATATGGGTGGCATCCAAATTAAAATTTGAGGACCTTTGTTTTTTAATGTTTTTTATGGCAAAAAAAACATTGATTTTCTGGTAAATTTCTTCAGGACGAGGGGGTACCAGTGCCCAAATTTTTTCCTAGAATAGCCCCTGTATGTTCAAACATATCCACTAAGATTTATTGGAGTTGTTTGGAGTAAATCAGATTTCAGCTTAGTTTCTGTAATTCCGATCATACTAAGTTCATAATTTATAAGAGATAAAAGTGAGATAATAAAAAATACAATTATATAGCTGATAATGTAATTAATAATAGATATAATAAAATGATAAATTAGATATGTAAAAAAAGAAATTGAATGAACTAAAAAAAGAAAAGAAAAAACAGTAAAATAAAAAAAAAAAAAATTGATACAACTTCAAATATAACTGTAAATTCTTAAACTTCTTTATTTATTATTCTTCTTACCTGACTTGCTGATGGATGGCAAATAATTAAAAGTTCTTTTTCTAAATTTGAATTTCTTTTTTGTTTTTTCTTTCTTTTTTTTTTTATCTGTAAGCAGGTATATTCCGTTTTAATCAGTTACTTATTTATTGAATATTTTATAACTTAAGTAATTTTTTTAAACAAACAATTAGAAGTTAACTTTTTGATTTTTAAATATAATTTGTTTATGCCATTATCTTCTTTTATATTGATAAATTTTATTCTTTTTATTCAAACAATTTCTTTCTTCTTTTCTTTTTTTTTTTCTTTCTCCTATAAACCGTTAGATAGACACATCCACCATTTGCGAACACCTTGCAGTGAATATGAATTACTATTATTATGTAATGTTGCTTCTCTTTCTCTTTTCTATAAACACTATAATGAGCACTGCTTTAAAGAGCTAGTATCTCTAGTGCCATCTACTAAAATTGATTCTCGTTTTACTTGTCATTCAATCAAGTCTCATTTTGTCTAAAATCTTACTTTATAAGCTTTATCTTTTCTCTTCCAGTAACTTTGAACTCTAATAGCGGTTGCTTGCAGCCTTGTTGCAAGTGAAGATATTTTATATATATATATATATATATATATATATATATATATATATATATATATATATATATATATATATATATATATATATATATATATATATATATATATATATATATATATATATATATATGTTTTCCACCTTTTTATTGAACCATTTCGTTGCATGGCAAATCTTTTTAAAAGTTGTTGGAATAAAAAAAATGCTTCACTTTTAAAAATCTTTTTTCTTCTTAGAAAAAGCCACAAATGAGTGTAATATTTCTGAGGACTGGCAATCTTACATGGATATTTGTGATCAAATTAAAGCACAACCTAATGGGTAGGTGTAAATTTAATTTAATTTTTTTTTTTTTTTTTTACGATAAAAAATACATTACAATAAAATTAGATTACAAAATTAGAAAAAATATAAAAATTATGGAAAATTATACAGATACAAATTAATAAAACTACTAAAATATAATATAAAAATATATAATAATATATAATAATAAATATATAAGAATTTTTCAATTGAATTAGGTTAGTGTTAATTTTTCTTTTTTTGTGTATTTTTAAGTTGTTATTTATCAATTCTATTGAAAAAGAATAATAATGACATTGTAAAATTTATAACATAATTTATATATAATATACCATTATTACTATCTAGTCCGAAAGAAGCATTAAAATATATTATGAAAAGATGTTCTAATCCAGTTCCACATGTGGCTATGCAAGCTCTTACTGTAAGTCAAATAGTATTAAGTTGAACCATTTAATTGCAATGTATATTTAGTTTTAGTTTTTATAGAGACATCAAGATAAACTATTTCTTAATATGGCTTTTTATGAAAACTACTCATGATTTTGTATGTAAGATTTATACATTAGTAACATTTTCTTTTTTTTTGTTACAATTATTTGGCAAGCTTTCCTTTTTATGGGAATCAGATGAAACATTACATTTAAATTTTAATTACATGGACAATGCAGTATTCCATCTGATTTTATTTTTAGGTATATAAATTGTAATAATATTAATAGTATTATGAATTAAATTTAGTTCTTATTTTTGAGGTTCTTAAACACATGATTCATAAAAACTTTAAACTTTAAATATTTTTTTTAGTAGAAATAGATAAATAGTATACTAAAAAAAATTTACCATTTCTTTAATGTATGCATTTGCAAACAACATTATAAAAATATATGTAAAATAGTATTATAGTGTGATTTTACATACCTTTTCACATGAAATAGCTAAAGTTATAGATAGTTTTAAATGTCTGCTTTTTTTGTTATATATACATACTTGTTTGTTTGACAGATGGGTGTAGCATATGTTGAAATAGACATTTAAACAGTGGTTGATAAGAGCATTTAACATAACACTTGACAGACTCATATGTCATATATCCCTTGTAACCCCTGTTACCCTATTATCTTAATGATATATAAATTAAAACAATCGTTTGATAGTTAATATTAATAATATAAATAAATTACATATTTTGAAATTTCTCAAATATTTTAAAATCCATAAATAAATATGTTAAAATAGAAAAAAGATTTTTTTATGATAATTAATTATAACTTGAAAAAAAAAGCCACCTTGACAGTTGTGAAAAATTTTTATAAAAAATATGCTACCAGAAGAGTGAAGAAGGAAGGAAATGTCTATCTGAAAATTTTTTTTTAAGTAATTGTAAGTCATCATAAACTTTTTTATTTTAGTGAACTCATTTATGAATTTCAAAATATCTAATTTATTTATATTAATTTTTATATGTTTATTTAAATTTGTATATATATAGATGATGTGGGGTAACATTGACAGGTAGGTATCATTGTCAAGTGTTAGATTAAAAGTTTTTAAAAATTGAATCAATAAAAGCATGAATAGTGAACTTTTTAAGATGTTTTTTAATTTTCCTACAAAAATTTACTTAGCTTCTTGCAACATGTGTCAATAACTGTGGTAAATCTTTTCATTTGGAAATTTGTTCAAGGGAATGGACTAATGATGCCAAAAACCTGATTACCAAAGTAACAAGAATTCTTTATTGTAATTTAAAGTTTATTCTTTAAATTTATAGTATACATGTATGTTTTGGACAATGTTTATTTTACATAAATATATATGTATATATATAATTATTTATATATATATATTTTTATAAATATATATGTATGTATGTATATATATATATATATATATATATATATATATATATATATATATATATATATATATATATATATATATATATATGTAAAAAAACTAATCAGTAGTATATTATAATATATATATTTTAATATTATAATAATATAGTTATTTAAATATAATAAATATATAATATATTTATTAGTTAATAAATTACTGAATAATTTACCTACGTTTTAGAGTCACGAAAAGGTATCACTCAAACTAAGAGAGTTAATTAAGAAATGGGCAGAAGATTTTAAGAATGATCCACAGCTAAAGTAAGATTTTTTTATATTGTATGGTAAGAGTTTATGACTGTTAAAAAGTTACTACTTTTTATAAGGTATCAAGTTAAACAATTCAAAACAAATTAAGTTAAAAAGATTTTAGGACAAAATATGACCTTAATTTTATTTTTTTATTAAGTATTTGATAAGAAAATTGTATCTCAATTGTATTTTTTAAAATAGTAAAGAGTTAGTAAAAACACATTCAAGCAAAAAACCACATTTGTCGAACATTTTTTATGAATTTAATGTTCTCTCACCAAAGTGTAATTCTCTTATCCTATCCATGCATTTCAAGACTAAAAAAAGCTTACCAATCTTATAATATGAAGAAAAAAAAAGATTTTAAATAAATAATTATGTTATAATAAAGAACCAAATGATTAATAAGGTTTGTGTCACTCAAAAAGATTTCCGCTGGAGTAACACCAAACATCTTTTAGTGTGCTCAAAAACTTTTTATTTGTCAGCTTTTTTCCATAAACATCTTTTGAAGTATTAAGTCTTTTGGTGATCTTTTTCTCTTATTTGCTTTTTGTTAACTCCCAAGTTAATGTTTGCTTGCATACTTGTTGGGAGTGAATTTATTAAACAAAAATAAAACAATATAATAATTTTTATAATAAAAACAATACTAAAATAAAAATAATAACAGTAAAAATAAAAATATTTCAAAAATTATCATAATAAAAATTAACAGAAATTGAATATAACTTTTGCAACTTAACACTCTAAAAAAAACACATATTATTCAGGCTTGGTCGGGAAGCGGGTGCGATCGCACTCAATAATTGACCACGGAAATTATATTTACTTGCGAAAAGCCGGCCAGATTTTTCAGGCGTTTTGAGAACATTTAAGTTTATGTATGTTTCCTTGTTTGTCCGCAAAATAATAAATTTATTATTTTATCGTAAATTTTGTTTTACGGAGGTATATGGAAATTTATATAAACTTGAATGTTGTCAAACATCTTAGTGCGGAAAAATAAATAAAGAATATTCGCGAACACAAAAAACCCGCCAAATTTACGAACAACTAATTCTATTGGTTCAATTAATAAATAACTTAAATTACTAAAGAATTCAAGCAAATGTTCTAGAGTATTCTGTTGAATTATTTTTCAAAATCGTATAGTTTGAGTTTTGTTATGTTTTCGTTGAGATTTCTAGCATCAATTGTTTTAAGAATATACTATCAAACGAACAATTATTTTAATACAATGGCTCATTCTTGGAGTCACATCTACAAAGCTATAAATGTTTTAAACTAACATTTGTTTACAAAAATAAATGTTATAAATTTATATTTTTTAACTTGTCAACGTTTTGTAAATATATTATAGATTTAATTAGTATAATCTTATTTTTTATATATAAGGGATGTATTTATATGTATGTAATGTATTAGAAATTGGTTTATTAACTTCAATTATTTTTGCTTCAGCCATTCTTATAAACTCGTTATACTTACACTTAAAGCTACTTTTTTCTGTAAAATACTAGTTAAAGATATAAAGCCCACTCACTAAACATCATCAGCGATATTGTTAAGCAGTTCCGCTTCCTCCTTACAAAGTAATTTAATGTTTTTAGTTAATTTCTATCTAGCTAATTAAATTTCCACAGTAACAATGATTTAGTTATTTCATTTGTTCATCTTACTAAGAAGAAGTGTTTCAAATATGTTAAACTTTTCAAACTCCGCGAAGCATAAAACAGGTACTGAAAAAAAATTTTATTTATAATTAAATTATGTAGCGTTATTTTTATTGGTTTAATCTTGCTAGACTTTACAGGGACGCGGGCTGCACTATTTTGGTGGCCTTTTTTATGTGCGACAGCGTAAAATTGACCTAAAAATACCGATAAGTCCTCTTGACTATTTCTCGGCCCATAACATTGTGTGTCCCGGGACTATAGCTCTTCTACCCCCCTTCCCCCCACCTCTTATTTTCAGCACTGGAAATAAGACATGAGTATATAAATAAAAATTATACATAATCTTTGATAAATTGAAGAACATTTGTTTCTTTATTAAACAATCATTATTAGTACGTTGTTATTATATACAAAAAATGTCGCTTTTTTTTAAAAAAAAAAATTATAAAAGAGCGTTGTTTCAAAAATATTTGCTCTAATCGTATTTATTTTGCTTAAAGTTTTTTCGCGTTAAAAGCTATTTTTCTTTTTTTAACTGTCTCTCATCGGCCAGTTTATCATATTGCGCTTTTTTGCTTGTTTTTGAAATGTTCTCAAAACGCCTAAAAAATCTGGCCGGCTTTTCGCAACTAAATATAATTTCCGTGGTCAAATATCGAGTGCGATCGCACCCGCTTCCCGACCAAGCCTGATTATTAAACACTTCAGTGTTTAATAAATAACAATACTAACACTTTTAACCCCAATTTGTGAAGAAAAAATATTTAAATTAACTTTTTATATAACAAATAAATTGTACTATGACTATTGCATTACTAATATGATGAAGGAAAAAAAAAGAAATTAAGTTTCAAAAAGTGAGAATATTTGCTTGAAAAATGATAGAGAAAAAAGTTAAAAACAAATATTAAATATAAGTTCACGTACAATAATAATAAAGCCTCTATTTACAGTAGATGATTTGAGCAAGAAAATGATTTGAGCAAGAAAAAATTTACTCTGATATCTATATTGATAAAGTAATAAAAAGAAATTAATATTTTTTTTTATAATTTTTTTTTTCTATACAAATATTCTTATCTTATTCTTTTTATAAATGTTTCTAAATTTTTATTTGAACATCCTTTATTTTTAGTTCTGTTTTTTTTTTTCAAATATAATTCATCTCCCCAGGCCACTACAGTTGAGGAGGCTACTCTATTGTGGTTATAACCCTCTCTCAATTCTTTAAGCTCTGTAAAACCCTCTCTCAACTCTGTGAATGAATACTATCTTGATACTCAAAAGACTTTAAGATTTAAGAATATATATAATTAATTTTTTTTTTATTAGTGTTAGTGAATATCTGTTACAGTAGAATAATGGCGTACAAAAATTCTGTTAGTAGAATAATAGCACACAAAAATTCAGTGTGAGACTGCCATGTGACACTCCCTAGATATCTTATGTTTATTATAACATAATCCCCTGTCAATTATTTACTAATTGAGTTATGATTCTTTTATAACTCTCTTGAAAAAATTGTACTGTTCTTTTTTTACTTTTCTGAAAATTAAGTTATTATTACAAAATGTTATATAAAATTAAGTTGTTATTACAAAATGTTATATAAAATTAAGTTATTATTACAAAATGTTATATAAAATTAAGTTATTATTACAAAATGTTATATAAAATTAAGTTATTATTACAAAATGTTATATAAAATTGAATTGAGTATAAACATAAGTAAACTTATATTGTAAGAATTATTGTTTAATTTTTGTTTGCTTTCAGTTTAATGTGTCAATTTCAAAAAAAGTTAAAAGCAGATGGTTTGTTGAGTGATTCTATTGAGGTAATGATTTGAAATTTTCTTTTTTGTGCTTTTAAAGCATTTCTAACAGAAACAATGTATTTGATTCTGTTAGAAGTGAAAGAGCTGCAATGTTTTATCTGAAGACTAACTCCACTTATTTTTTATTATTTGAAGATGGTGTAAATTTTTATTTTTTTTACTAATAAAATGTTCAGTAGTTATCAAATATTTTAATGGAATATTCAAAAGTTTATTTGAACATGAATCAAAAATATGTAGTGCTGTTGCACTGTTATTTATTATTCTGTAAATTTTTTTCATCTGTTTTCAATGTTATTTTATTATTTTTCCTTCTGCAAGCTCTTTTTATTCACCAAGTATAGAAAAGATTTTTCACTAAAATTGTTATTATGGATGCGTTGAAGAAGTTTTTTTTTTCAACATTTCTAATAATATGCTTTGAAAGATTAACTGATTTTATTTAGAACATAATCAAACTGAGACGAAATAACTATTCATTTCATAATTTTTTTATAAGGTTGTAGGTTGGTGTAGGGTGTATAGTGGTACAGGGTTTATATTAAGAAGTTATTATTTATTAAGATTAACTTAGATAAACTTAATATAATTAAGTTAATCATGGTATTCAAAGTTTTATTATCAAGTAAAGACAAATTTTCTCCTTGTTTTTCTGATAAAATTTTTTTTAAATTTATTCCCAGTTTTTTTAACTTAGGAATGTGGCACACTAAACTCTAATAGATTTATTGGAGAGCTCTGTATCCGATATTTTTTGATTTGGGGGGAAGTATGGGTGAAATAAGTTCTAGTTTCCATTTGTGTGATTTTAATCTACCATCAATATAATGATCATCATTCCTCCAATTTTCTGTATCAATTGTTATATACTCATGTATTAAATTGTTATATACTCATGTATTAATTACAGTGTGTTTAGAAGTGTTTTTCTAAAGTAAACACAATACTCTTTAAGTTAAAATTGTAAGCATTAACAAAACAACAGAAAAAATAGTAGATGCTTTATTATCTCAAACATCAACTCTAATTGTACAGTAATAAATGCAACTTCTTTAAAATAATTTTTTATATTAATTTTTAATTAGTAAAATGTAACTCAAAAGTGCATACTCATAAAATTTAATTTATATGAAGAAAAATAAACAAAAAAAGTATAAAAATTATTAAGGTAACAAATATTATGAAAAAAATTTAATTATGAGTTTAATAATATTTTGTCTTTAAAAGAAACCTTCAAAATTGCCATCAACATCCTCAAGCAATGAACTGAATTTCAAAGAAGATCTAGATCTTGCCATTGGTATGATTCCTTAACTTTTTTATTATTTTTTTCAAATCTAAATTAACAAAAATTGATAAATAATTATTTATCAGTTGATAAATGTATTTAAAAAGCACACACAGATATATATATATATATATATATATATATATATATATATATATATATATATATATATATATATATATATATATATATATATATATATATATATATATATATATATATATATATATATATATATATATATATATATATATATATATATATATATATATATATATATATATATATATATAGCAAACTTTAGTGGAAAATCAGTGTTTTTTTGCGAAAAAAAATATTTGACGTAAAAAATGGTAAAAAAAAAGAAATTCTCAAATTTTAATTTGGGCAGCGCCCAAATACGGTTGACACTATCGAAAATGGTCTAGAATAGCCCCTGATATGTATATATATATGTGTGTGTATATATATATATATATATATATATATATATATATATATATATATATATATATATATATCTACTATAACATATTTATATGCGCAATTGCTCACTTTTTTTGCTAGCCTAAATTAAGATGTATGTATGTATATATATTTATACACTATTTAGCTTTGTCACTTCAAGAAAGTAATGGGAGCAAGGTATGTTTTAAAATTATTTAAAAATTTTTTGTTTCTGTTTTTTTTTTTTTAATTTTTTTAGTTTTATTCTTTTATTTCAGCAAACTTCAAAATCGACTACCATATACCCAACTATAAGCCAAGCTTTGATTCCAAATCAAGAAATGGTATTCTATAGTATATATTAATTTATAAAAAAAAAAAAAATAAATAAACTAGTAATGATTAACTAGTAAACCAGCTGCTATTCTGTTTCAATCTTATTTTTGATAAATAAATTGTTCTAATTGTTTGTACTTTACAGTTGGTAATTTGTTGTGTGATTTACCCCTTAGCTTAAATTAACAATAAACTACCAGATTATATAATAATATATAAACATTACCATATATCACAAACCAGTTTTTATTTCAAAATTTAACTCAGCTTTCATAATTTTATTCTAATATGTCATTAATTTATTTTTAAGTTTATTTGATGACCCAACTTGTTTCTTAAATTACCATAAAAATTACCAAAATAAATTAACATAATTGTTTCAAGATTTTTCACTAAAATTAAGTTCAAATATTTTTCAAATTTTTTTAAAAATAATTTTACAGAACAATTTTTATTATAGTTGTTTCTGATTTTTTATTTTATTTTCAACATCTTCACTTCCAACAAGGCTGCAAGTAACCACTATTAGAGTTGGAATTTACTGGAAGAGAAAAGATGAAGTTTATAGAGCAAGATTAACAGATAACTTGAGTTTATAGAGATTGTATTACCAGATTAGAGATTGCAAGATTATCAGATGACTTAAAAGAATATCAACTATATGAATTAGGAAAACAAGATGAAGGGAATTTCAAAGAACTGATGTTTGAATAAAAAAACTAGATGAATAAGAATTTTTGAAGATGACTCATTGAGTAAATTACCGTTTATAAATATAGAAAGACTTAGATTGTTGCAATAAAGATTAGCTGAAAAAAATTGAACTTTATCTGAGTTAAAGTTCACCAGCTTCTGAGAGCCCCATGCAGTAGCAGAAGTGAGATCCTTTTCAATCTCTGATTGCTTGGAGGGGGCTCTGAGAGTCCCCTCCAAGCAATCAGAGATTGTTGGTTTCTTATCATGACAAGAATAAATGGTAGTATCATCAGTGAACAATACCACCTTAGTTGTGAGAATATCTGGGAGATCATTAATGTAAATTAAAAAGAGTATAGGGCCAAGGATACAATCTTGAGGAACCCCTGAAATTACAGGATATGAAGAAGAGTGATGTCCATCAAGGACAACTTTTATACTACATGATGAAAAGTGCTTAGCAAACAATTAATTGTTTTTAGGTGAGGTGACAAAATCTGACCCATACAAGAGAGGTGGAATAATTTGCCCTTATTACAGATATTGTTAAAGGTTCTCTGGAAGTCACGAGAGCCTAATTTTTACAATGAAGTATGAGATTTTGTGACCTGAGAATAGCGGGCTTTTGCGTTAGACAAAACCTTTGGTTTGTCTAATGGTTTCTAACAATAGTAAAAAGTTGTCTGTTTTCTGGAGAATTGTTTTGACAATAGATATGGAAGTAATGTTTACAATTGGAAATTGCAGCAGCACAATGAAAGGAAAGCCATGGAGAAGAGTGAAGCTTGACTTGAAATTGTTAAGAGGGAATAAAAGATTCCATGCCAGCCTGAATCCAAGTTACGTAAGAAGCACATTTGTCAGCAGGATGACAAAAGATTTCTACCTGAGGGCCATCACAAAGAAAGTCACGAAAAGAGTCCCTGTCAGCTTTTTGAGGTAGTTGTAAGAGGTATAATGATAGTGGGGTTCTGATAGTGACGAAGAATGAGATAATAGTTTTAGAGAGAACTGTGATCAGAAGCATCTAAGGTTGAATTTGGAGAAACTGAACACTGACTAGGATCAGAATCAATACATAAGTCGAGTAGAGAATGTAAATGACTTGAATTGTCTGGAAAGTGAGTTGGAAAGTTGTTATTTGTGTTAGAGATTGAGAAAGGCAAAAGTTGTGACCCTTATTGCTCACAGAGTCACTGACACTAGAGCCAAGCCATTCAGTGTGATAGGCATTAAAGTCACTGACAACAACAATATTGGCTGAGGGATGAAGTGAAAGGGCTTAGTCAATTTGATTAGAAATAATATCAAAAAGAATATTCAGCAGTAACATTTTATAAACAGTAACTAGGGGATGTTTTAAAGTCCTATAATTAATATTATTGCCCAATTAAAACAAGTGAAAGTTTAAATCAAGTGTTTTTTTTTTTTCAAATTTATTTTATATTTAGTTTTGTAGTTATTTTTTTATAGCTAAAATATTAATACTATGTATTAAATAAACTATATATTAGTTAAAATATTATTTATATCATTAGTTAAAATAAAGAAAAGTTGTAAAACTTGTTTAGAGTAATAGTGAAAAAGTATTTTCTTTTTAATTTATTTACATGTTTGGTTCTTTAAAAATCAGTGACACCTTACTAAAAATAAATAATAAATTAATAGTTGAGGTTAATAGTTTTTTATTAATGTTTTTTTTAAAAAATGACTTTTAAAAAAAACTGAGTTAAGGGTTAAGTGAAGGTTGAGTTAAGTAAGCAAGAATTGCGATAACTGAAAGTATTTCTGGTACTCATTTTTAAATCCCTTAATAAATTCTTATTATTGAATAATGGTTATCAAAATTTTTGATTTATGTTATTATCAAAAAATTCAATAATAAGTATTAAATAAAAAGTATTTATCCATTGATCTTGAAACAATAATATGAGACCTGTTGAATTAACCTTTGATAATTGATTTATACAGATAATCATCAAAGAAAACTAAAAAAGTAAACCAAACAATACAATATTAAAAGAAGTAAACACATATTAAAGATATTTATTCATTTATATTCTTATTGTGAATTTCAATAGTCTGGAAGAATTTAACAATAACTCAATAGTTACAATAACTAGTTTTTATAATATTAGTTTTTATTTCATATGTATCTTATTTGACTTACAAATACACTTGATGCTTTAAATGCAAAAGAGCTTTACACATTCAAAGGACCTAATTAAAAAAAGTAAATATTTTTTGCCTCTGCTTGCTGTTTTCTAATAAGTTTAGAGGTTTCTTGCTGTTTTGATTCCACAGTTTTTTTTTATCACTTATCTACATATAAAAAAAAATAAATCACATTATAATTGAATATATGATATTCTAATTTGAGTATCAAAGTACTTATAAAAAGTCTAATCATGATAAAGTTTTGTTTATCCAAGAATTTAAAGTGGAAGCTCAATTGAAAGTTAACTAAAGGTTTTTGTGTTATATATTAGAGATTCATCATTATATAAAAACATCAAGTTTATATAAAAAAATTTCAATGCGCTTTAAAACTGCTAAACTGCTAGTTTTTATAGAAAGTGTGGTATCATTACATGACTCGAAAAAAAAATTATTCATCTTTCTGTTTTAAAACTAATTTAACCTAATTATCTAGCAATTTTCCAGATATTTTCTATGTTTTTTTAATACCTTTTTTTTGAATGTTTTCAATAAAAATCTCTCTTTAAATGTATGCGCCATTTTAAATAAAAAATATGTTTAAGAATTTGCTGAGTTAAGCTTATAATTAAAATTTAGAGAGCTGTTCTAACCACCTATAACATACAGAGAATAAAAAGCTTCTACCTAAAGCATTTCTTCTGAAAAAACTGATTAATGTTGATTAGACCCACTTGTTTATGTTATAAAATTTTTTTAGAAAGAAGTATGTCGTGTGTTAGCTTTGTATGACTTTGAAGCTGCAGAAGACAACGAGATGACTTTTAAAGCTGGAGAAATATTTTCTGTCTTAGACAACAGGTGATACTTAAATAATATTATTTTTTATGTATTTTTTGTTTAGTTTTTAATTGAATTTTATTTTTTGCATATGTGTACATTTTTAGTGATCAAAACTGGTGGAAAGGTTGTAATAATCGTGGTGTTGGTTTGTTTCCTGCCAATTTTGTTACTACAGATCTATCTGCACTTCAAAAAGGTTTATTTAATTTTTCTTTCACATTCAGTTTGCACTTTGTCAATGTCAATATTTCAGATACTTATAAAAGTATTTTTAGTATTATTTATTATTATTTTCAAAAAAATTAAAAAACTCTTTTTTAAATTAACTTATTTTTAAATTTAGAACAAACTGAAAAGAAAAAAGTTAGGTTTGTTGAAGACTCTGCAGTTCAAGTAGTGAAGCCTGATCCCAAAGAAGGTATATTGAACATTTTTAGTAATTTACTGCTGAGATTTTAAAGATCTAGTCTTTCTGAAACCTAATAAACATAAGTTTGCTTTTACACCAACAGGGTTAGGGTTAATTTCAAATTGATGAAATGTTTAAGTTACTTATATATACTTACTCATAACTCTAGATGCATATATAAAAAAATACATGTAAAAAGTCTGTAACAATATTGTAATATTTTTAAATAAATATTGTAGCAGACTTTGACAGAACTGAATAATGATTTTTACTGATTTCTATTAATTCTAAAACTGTGCTTGTCTGTTTAAGAATTTTTGTCACACTGTATCTACCCCACAGCTCAGATTTGGACAGAGTTGGATCAAGATGAAATATCTTGTCAGGAAATGACACTCACATCAGCCTAGGAATGTCAAAGAACCATTTGAAGTTTTACAAGATGGTTGGGCAAGAGTTCCTGACTAATTCATGAAAAATATTATTTAGTAATATTCAAATTTAAAATTTAAAAAGAGGTTTTGAGTTCAGCACATTTCTGTTAGTGCTGCGCTTAACAACTGAGAGAGGCTTGTAGCAATTTATAGTAATAATTTACAAATGAGTAATTTTTTTGACTGTAGTTGTCTTTTTGGTCTTAGTGAGGTGAATAAAATTAAAAAAACTCTTCAAAGATATGAATATACCCATATTGTAGAGCAATTATCAAATTTAAAAGTCTTTAATTTGTCCGAGCCAAATATTTGCAATTTATACTTTCTGATTGTTTACACAACAATGTAGAACAACACTATCTGACAAATATTAGGTGCCAATTCCTCCTTTGACACTGTCTAACAAGGTTTTTTATCACACACTGTCTGTAAGGTATTGTTTATGGTGATTCCCAATAATGGAACAAAATTTTTTTGGAAATTTTATTCCCAATATCTAATTACTATGATTGTTTAAAACTTAAATTTCTGACTATAACTTCTGATTAAAATGTCATAATTAGAAAATAGACATAAATGTAAGGATATCTGTACATTTATGTTTAGGTGTCGTGTTATTTGGTTATTTAAATGTAAGGATATCTGTACATTTATGTTTAAGTGTCATGTTATTTGGTTAACTAAACTTCATGTTATTTAAATAAAACCTTTGAAATTAAAACCTTTTTTCAAACATTTTGCATAAATGAAGACATTACTATCAATAACTTAAATGTCATTTAAACAGGCTCTTTGAAGTGTTTTTTTTGTTTTTTTGTTTTTTTGTGCCAGTTACTATTTGTTAGGCACTTTTACTTATTTAGATGTAAAAACGCAAATTACTTTTAAGCATAAACTACTTTACAGAACCCATATAAAAATATAATTTGCTTACATTTAAAAGTAATTTTTTTTGCATAAATTATTTAACATGTAAAACTTAATTACTTAATTTAAGTTTTTAAATGAGTAACTGTTACTTGAAAAAGTAATTTACTTTTACAAGTAAAAAATATTTGCATTTTTACTTTTACTTGTAAATGTAACTTGCTTTTAATGGTAAGTCGTGTAAAGTTATTTACATTATATGAAAAGTTTACATCAAAATGTAATTTACTTTTTATATGTAAAAAAAAGTTATTTATGAAGTAAACTTATGTAAATATAATATTTAAAAAACATAACACTTACTTTACAAAGTAAAATAAAACTACATCTTAACAGCAAATTACTTTTACATGTAAAAGTTACTAATTAGCAAAAACAGCTTACATAAAAGTAGTTTGAAAAAAATTGTTATTTACAATTACAAATAAAAGTTAATTTTTTCTTTGAAATTTTATACTTTACTTTGTAAGTAAAATTTAAGTTATTATCTTTCTCAAAGAACAGTCATTTCATGTTGATTTAACATTAATTTTGAGATAGGTAGTGTATTCAAGAGGATTTTCTGTTTTAGGCACAAATTTCACATTACTATTTTTATACAATTCCACAGCTAGTTAACAATAATGAATTGAAGAACACAGGTCTCTTATCGTGTGATTTAATGAGAGGTAAAGGCGTTTTTGTAAATACTCTTTAACATATATTCGACCCGAAAGTGTTGACTGAGAAATGTAAAGTGCTGATTTTTTGCCACAACTGCAAATAGCTTGCCAAATCAAGACTTTTTTAGCAAACTTGTCATGTTTTATGTATTTAAATTTCTTATCTGCTTTTCCTCTGCATTTGGCAATATAATAGACGACACCAGGAGTTTGCTGATGATCGTACATAAGTTTCATTGTCTTCAATAATACAGAAATTTTTAGAAATAAAATTGACATGCAACTTTCTGCAGCGAGTTTTTGCACTTTTTTGTTGAGTTTCAGATTGGTTGGGCACTTTTTGTGCTTTAAAAGAATGAAAACCATATTTATTTTGAACTTTTACAGCAAAACTATGAAAAAGTCCATTAATATTTGCGCGCTCCCTTAGTGAAAGACTTGGGTTAGTCTTAAAACTGTTAACCAGTTTTCTAACTAGTTGTTTATCTTTAAAACCCTTCTTTCTTCCACCACCAGATTTATGTTTGATCGATTTTGTTTGAGAAAAATGTTGGATTACACAAATAACGGTGTATGGATGTATTTGCAACGCTTTTGCTATCGAATTGTAGCTACTATTGGGATTTTCCAAATATTTGTGCATAATTTTTTTTCTTATGTCTTCTTTTGTCATTTTTAAAACTAATTTTAAGTTAAATCAAAAAACTAATACATATTTTTGAAACCACAACACGTTGTAAACAAAATACAAAACAATTAAAAAGATTTTAATATAACCACTGAAAAAAAATGACGTACTTATTCTTTCACTTTTATTTCGTGTACACGCATTATTAGTCAATACTATATCAAATATTGTTTAAAACCTGTTATACTTGAAAAAAGTCAACAAAAGTTGTAACACAGATTTAAAGCTTATCAATTTTCTAACCTTGATAGTATACACAGACTTAAAATATCACACTTATCTTTAATTATTTTACTTGTAGACAATCAACAGAATCACAGAAGTAAAGATTTATAAAGCAGCTTTCAAAAAATATTTACTTACATTATAACACAAAATGAGTTCATGGTAGCATTATAAATTTCTATAGTTATTTATATACAGTTATCTATTAGAAACTGTCAGCATATAAACAGCTCTTTTTGCTTGATTTATATGCCGTAATTAAAAAATAGACACAAAATAGACATGTAAAGATATACATCTGTACATTAATGTTTAGATGTCATGTTATTTGGTTATTCAACTATTTAACTGAAATTTTTTCAATGTAAACCTTCTTTCAAATGTTTCCCAAAATAAAGACACTACATTAGTAAGTTATGGGATGGGAAAACTCCATACTATAATTGATTGAAACACATTACCATACAAATTATATTTAATAAAAATATTTTATAGTGCTTGCATCACAAGTGATAGTGGTGGAGTGGTGTTGTAGTGGAGTAAAAAAAAATCCATAACAAAATTTAAGGCATATGCTCAATAAATTATGACATCATTTCTGATTTACAAACTTATAAACCAACTCATAAATATTATTTACCATGATAATCAAAATAGTTTATGTTTAAAATTTTTTTTTATAAGATTTAATTATTAATTTTTCTTTAGTTATGAAAGGAAGACCTCAAACTAATATCAGTCAAGTTAGTTTTTTTTTATACTTAACTTCAACTATTTAAATAAATTTTGAAAAAATTATTTTATGATTTTATATAAATGATATTGTTAAAAATCAAATGACCCTTAAAAAGATGTTTGTTAAAAGAATTATCCTTGACATTTGTCAATGTTATATTAACTAAAAAAAGGAGTTAAAGTTAATCAAATTGCTAAAAAAATATTAAGACTGCCAGGAAAAAAGTCTCTCGAATAAATCGTGCTTTAGTATAATGGTAAGAACCATAAAAGTTGTCTATTTTTTAAAAATCAAAATGACCGTGCAACATAGATAGTTTTTTATAATTTTATTGTCTATTTTAGGGGGAGAATTATTGGTAAGAAATTGGAACCCCTCTGACCCATTAAGAACGTGCTGTAATCAATCATTAGGGATATTGTTAAAATAATTTATGGTTGATTGCCTCTTTTAGTTTTATTGGGAAGGTGGTAGGGATGCTAAACCTGGTCAATGACCAGTGGTCATTATTTTTAGCTCTGAAATATCATTGAAACAAAAATAATAATTTTTTTCTTTTATTATTTTACATTGCATGTTTTTCCATTAAAAGTAGTAATATAGTCACATTAAAATATAAAATCTAAAATCTCATTCAAAATATTACAAAAAAACATTAGATTCTTCCTTTCAAATAAAACAAAAATTGTTAAATTTCTTTATTACTTTTTAAAAACAGTTGCTATGACAGTTGCTAGGAGTTTTTTGCTATGCTTTAAATGTCCTTCCATTCTATTATATCTGGACCAGGTTTGTTTCAACTTAACATGTAATTTTTTACCACATTTTATAAAATATCTTCCTAAACTACATTTATGATACTTGACAGATGGAATAGCACAAAAAATCTTAAAAGTCAAACTTAATTTTTTAATCAAGTATCAAAACTAGCTCTTGTGAAGAGATGAAAGAATCCTTAGGCTTGGAAAAAAATCCTGCAAATCTAGTTTGTAAATTTTTACCAAAACAAGAATTTTGAACAGATCTAAAGTCTTTAAGACGCTGAGCAAGGTGCTGATTTTTACTTATCACTGGCAACTTTAATTAATTAAACATTGACTTGGACTTTGATATAGTCAAGCTTAGGTTTAAACAATAGGTTTAACACAATAAATGAAAATCCACTTATTCAAAAGACTATCATATCCTATATTTAGATGTGAAAATGTGTAATTAATTGATTAGCTATTGATAATTGAGCATTGTATATATATAGCAACATACATACATGCATTTTAATTTAACAACTGTAACATAGTAAACTTTCTTATTAATTGATCTTCTGGTGATTTGTGATCAATAAAAATTAATTTGTTTGGTAAACTTTTATAAACCCCTATAACATTTTTAAGTTTCGTTATGTAACGAAACCAGGTTACAATACGTGCAAAATGTCTGTTAGTCATATGTGACGAGGCTTAACATTTTTACATAACGAGACGTAATGTTATGAAACTGTTATATAATATGTTTACCTAATGCGACATAACATTTTTACGTATCATTACGAATCAAATGTCTGTTATTTTTACATAACAAAAAGTAACATTTTAAACCTTGCAGTAACTTTGTAAGGTATGGCTTCTTAATATTTTTAAGTTTCGTATGTAAGTTATGTAACGAAACCAGGTTACAATACGTGCAAAATGTCTGTTCGTCATATGTGACGAGGCTTAACATTTTTACATAACGAGACATAGCTGATCTTTTCTTACTTTCATTTCAAACATCTTTTTGTTTGTTGGTAATATAAAATGCGCTGCTTTGTAGCAAATTTCGCTCGCTTTGTTGTTAATGTTTCTTTTAGAAAGGTTGACAAAGAAATGTTTCCAATCATTATCATTTAAATTGTCCTTGCTATCAAACAAGGACTTCCAATTATTATATTTATACTCAATTTTTTTGATAGGTTTGTTCAATAATTTGTATAGTGTTAAAACAGTTAGGTTTTTCAATTCATATTTTGATTTCCTTTTAGTTAAATATTGTGGGGCTTTTTTGTAATCATATTTTTGAGATTGCGTTAAAATTTTTTGTCTCCATTCTCGCGGAAGGGCTTTTATAATCTCGTCTAAGTTCTTTTTGCTCAAATTTATGCTGTTATAATGGAAAAAAACTGGTTGAACGGTTTTTGCGATGTCAACTAAAAGCACAATATCGTTTTCTATGACTCTTATCTGGAATCAAAAATTTTTTTGGCAATTTTTTATTTTGTTCATTTTGTTATAAAAAATAGGTTCGTTTAAAATTTCTTCAATTTCTGTTACTGGTAATTTATGTTTTTCTTTTAATTCATGCCAATAAGTTATTAGCTGAGCATAGAAGGCTGGGAGTTGATTTATTTGGGTAGGGTTAGTTTTGAAAACATGAATATTTTTGTTGGCGTCTCTATAGGAGTTTAGAATGTTTATCATTGTGTCCTTCCATGGCCCGCTTATATGTTTCATACAAAAATCCTCCGTTATTTGAGAAAAACACTCCTAAACTTTTAAAAGAGTTTTCGTCCCAATTAAAATTTAAGAATTTTTGTTTATCCTCAAATATGTTTTTTCCTAGCCATATGCCTTGGCATTTGGCTATGTTTATTTTAGCTCCAGTGGCTTTTTTATTTATTTTCAAAGCTTTACCTATTTTTATAATCGAGTTTTCTCCTGTTAGATAAAAATTGGTGTCATCAGCGTATTGCTGTATTTTGGTTTCATTTCCTTCAACAATAATCCCTTTGATTTTATCGCATTGTCTTACAAAAGTTGAAAATATCTCTGCTTGAATGATATATAATATCATTGACAAAGGACAACCTTGTCTTACTCCTCTCAAAATATTTATTTTTTCGGATAAACATCCGTTAATTTTAATTTTTGCAAAAATTTTCTTATAGATTGTTTCAATAAAAAATATAAAAACTCTTCCAAATCCAAAATATTTCAAACTTTTAAACAAAAAATTTCTGTCTACTCTGTCAAAAGCTTTTACCTGATCAATAGAAAGTATGCAAGCGTCTAAATCGCTTGTTTTAGCAATGCTTTTAATGTCTCTGGTGTAACTAAGATTATAGTTTATAGTTCTATTTTTGACACATGCCGTTTGGTTGCTGTGTATAATGTTTGGCAATATATTTTTTAGTCGATTTGCTAAACATTTTGTTAGAATTTTGTAATCAACATTTGTAAGTGATATAGGTCTCCAATTTCCTATATCATTTTTATTGCCTTTTTTAAAAATGCATGTTATTATGGCTTCCTTTTGGGAGTATTTCTCTCCTGTAAACAAAACATTATTTAAAGCATTGGTTAAATCTTTCTTAAGTAATTCGAAAATTTTTTTATAGAATTCTATAGTGAGTCCGTCTGAGCCAGGAGATTTGTTACTTTTCATTTGTCCTAAAGCTTGTTTTATTTCAAATTCAGATATTTCTTTTTCTTGTAATTTATTTTCAACCTCAGTCACTTGCTGAACTTTTGCATTTGAAAACAAAAACTCTTGAGAGGTTTTATCGTTGACTTTATTTATACAGTTTTCTATAAAATTTTTCAAACTCAGCTAATATTTCTTTTTGTTCTGTTTTGACCTCCCCGTCACTCCCACTTATTTCAGTGACATACTGTTTTGCAATTTTTTGTTTTTCTAGGCCGAAAAAAAGTTTCGAGCATTTTTCGCCTTCTAATCTCCATTGAATTCTTGCTCTAATCGCCGCTCCTTCAGCTTTTTCTTTTTTTATTTGTTCAATTTTCATTTTTACATTGTTATATAGATTTTTCATCATATTGTTTACATGCATTTTTTGCGAAGCGTTTTTTAATGATTTTAAAAGTTTAAATTCTTTTTTGTTTTGTTTTTGTTTTAGTTTTTTGCTGAATTTTTTCGAAATGAGCCTTATCTTTTCTTTGCCGGCTTCCCACCAATCTTTAACATTTTCATAATTATTTTTTTGGTTCGACCATTCGTTCCTTTGGTGCGACCATTCGTTCCAGTTCGCTTCTATAAGAGTTTTAAAATCTTCATTTTCCAAATGTTTATTATTTAAAATCCATGTTTCTGATCTAATGATATTTTTGTTTATATCTAAAACGACTACTTGAGCGTTATAATGGTCAATTAATATGGTTGGCTCAAAAAAAGTTTTAATATTTTGCCTAGATTTTTTGCTAATATAGAAGCGGTCTAGTCTCGATTGAGACACACCATTAGTGGCAGTAAAAGTTCATTCATTTTGAAGGGGATTAAAGACTCTCCAAACATCCTCAATTTCTAAGAGGTTTAATAAATTTTTTATGGACGGACGTTCTTGTCTAAACATGGCAGGATATCTATCTTTTTCTGATAAAGTTACATTAAAATCACCACCCATAACAATTTGAAAGTCATTAAAATCTTTATTACTAAATTCATTAATTGTCATTAAAAAACGTAATTCTAAATTTTTAAGAATGTCCGAAGGTGCGTAAACGTTAACTATCAATAATTTTACATCATTGATTTGTATAGTTATAGTTTTCTTTTGAATCATTACCTAAGAAAATTGGTTTTTCACATTTTTGTTTTAATAAAATTGCAGTTCCTCTTGTATAAACTGCTCCAGGTGAGAAAAAAATGTCACCATCCCAATCTTTTAAAAAATATAAAAAACTAATTCATACCAACACCAAAATTCCCTTTGAAAAAGTCTTTTATTTATGTATGCCATTTGGGTTTCTCATTTCTTCTTTCTTTGTTAGATGGTTTTTCTTTAACTGGTGTTTGCGGATGATTTCTTTTACATTCGTTCACGCTTTCGCCCATTGAGATGTCTACATCCGAATCGAAGTCGCTTGCGCTTGAGATTTAACTAATTTTAACAATATCTAAACTTTTAGCTTAACTTCAGTGAATACATAATATTCGTTGAAACTTTAGATTTATTTTTGCTTGTGAGTTTATTAAAACTTTAAAAGCGCAAAAAAAAATTTTCATGACAAAGTCACCAAT